ACACGCTGGACCGTGTTTACACAAACATAAAAGATGCATACAAAGCCGAACCCCGCCCCCACCTAGGACTGTCAGACCACATCTCAATCTTCCTGGATTATGCTTACATGCCCCCGCTGAGACGCTCCAGACCGGTACAAAAGAAAGTTAAATGCTGGATCCAGGACAGTGGCCCCATACTGAGAGATTGTTTTGATCGAACAGACTGGCAGGTTTTCAAAGAAGCTGCTGAAAATGGAGGGTCGCTTGATCTTGACCAATACACATCCTCAGTTCTGGGTTACATTAGTACATGTACTGACACAGTCTCCACTATCAGAAATGTTAAAAGCTACCCAAACAGAAAACCTTGGCTGAATGCAGAGGTACGTACCCTGCTGGAAGCCAGGAACACTGCCTTCAGGTCTGGAAGCTCAGAGGAGCTGAGTAGGACAAGAAAAGAGCTGGTTGCTGGTATTAAGAGGGCCAAGGCCACATATGCACAGAGGATCGAGGGTCAATTCATCTCACAAGACCCTCGGAGCATGTGGAGGGGCATTAAGTGCATAACAGATTATAAAGGAAGGAGTGAACAATGCCCCAAAGACCCATCTCTGCCTGATGCCCTCAACAAGTTCTATGCACGCTTTGAAGACCCGAACAGACCACCCAGCACCAGACTCACCTCACCACCGGACGAAGAGCATCTCAGCGTAACCTCAGCAGAAGTAAGCAGTACCTTCAGGAGGATTAATCCGCACAAAGCAACTGGCCCAGACAACATCCCTGGAAAAGTGTTGAAGGAATGTGCTGATCAGCTCTGTGAGGTGCTGGCCGACATCTTTAACACCTCACTTACCCTGGAGACAGTTCCCACCTGCCTGAAGACTGCCACCATCATCCCAGTCCCAAAAAGCTCTACAGTGACTGGTCTGAATGACTATCGGCCAGTGGCCCTCACCCCGATAGTCGCTAAATGCTTTGAAAAACTGGCCATGACTCACATCAAAACAACCATCAACATCAACGAGGACCCTCATCAGTATGCATACCGTGAGAACCGATCAACAGAGGATGCAATCTCCTCTGTGGTCCACACTGCGCTCAACCACCTGGAGCAGAAATACTCTTACGTCCGTATGCTCTTTGTGGACTTCACATCCGCCTTCAACACCATGATCCCCCAAACCCTGATGGACAAACTATCTACACTAGGACTAAGCCCCTCCATCTGCAACTGGGTACTAGACTTTTTAACAAACAGACCACAGTTAGTGAGGATCCACAACCTCTCCTCCTCCACCATAACCCTCAGCACTGGCTCTCCTCAGGGATGTGTGTTGAGCCCCCTCCTGTTTACTCTGCTCACGTATGATTGTGCAGCTACCCATCCAGGCTGTCACATTGTAAAGTTTGCAGATGATACAGCGGTGGTGGGATGCATTCAGAATGAGGAGAGACCACCAGGGGTACCACGATTCAGAATGAGGAGTGACCACAAGGGGCACCACAATTAGATATAGGAGAGATCACAAGGGGTACCATGACTCAGACAGAGGAGAGACCACAAGGGGCACCACAACTAGACAGAGGAGAGAC